AAATTCTCGAACACAATAGAATACATATACAATATGTATATCCCATATATTCTCATTAAGCAACAATCGATTGTCTTCCCCAACATTATCTGGACAATGTGTCTTGCATCATATACTGTTATATCAGACATGTGAAACAACGGGAGAAGAAAAAATTCACGTGCGGAATCATCCCGATTATTAGAGCACTCTCCAAAGGATGGAATGAAAACACCTATATCTGCATTTATGCATTCGGTTTTGTAAGAGGTCCACCTCCAAAAAGAGTTTCTGAGAGGCTATATAGTAAGCAAACACCACCAAAACAAAGTTCCATGCGGAACATATCTTCTTATTTTGTCGTTATTAGTTCATGTCTGTAAGGCTGTGGTTCAAAAGTTTCTTAAGCACTTTGCATAGGATTATTTAATTGTCAGTGGTGCATCCGATTTGTCCCTACACATTCCAATCCGGCATAAATATCACTTCTATTTCTTACCATCTTACGACAATGAAGGAAGACCAAAAATAATCATAACACAGGAAAGACACGAAGGTAACTCACGTACCATTAAATGCAACGTATGAGGAAGTCGCCTCCATTCTGACTCTATCCTCATCTCAGTGCTGACCTATGCTTAAACGTAACCAACATGAAGAATGAAATAAATAAAAGTCCTATATATTCTGAGAATCCTAAACTGTTGCACTGAGTATTTGCACTCCGCGAGGCTCCTTTGAAGTGAGATATAAGGAAGATTATGAAAATTTCTGCGCTGTCCCTTATCATTTATATGAACACTTTAATCTATACTTCACATCACTTTGGATCAAGAGTATATTTATTTATACTCCTAGATACATCCCTTAAATTTTACAGATAACTTCTCCGAATCACAGGATGCATCCGCATAGAGACTAATCAGATTCCTCCGGCAGAATCCACTGAATTATTGGAAGCTGCCCAAGCCATATACGATATACAAAATTATATGGTACTGTAAGAGACAATGTAACGGATATGTATAATTTATATTGTGTGACATGTGATCAACAATTTAACAAATGCATGTCAAACCGTACTCTGCGAAAGAACATACATGTGTTCTTACCTCATGACTACGCTAATAGTCACCTGAGTGTTTTAGAATATGTCAATAAATTCCATACACAAAATAAAAAAGGACTCGCCTCCCTCGCAGACTCCTGTGATATATAGACTCTTCCCTGATTACAGGAGGCCACCAGTCATGATTATGAGTTTTATCGCTCGGACACTTACGATAATGTAAAACCAAATTCTGATTCCGAGAAAAATAATTATGAAAAACCAACAGATACATGAGATTCAAATGTGGCCTCTAACTCCACATATAACATTAATGACGTGAAGGTGCAAATATACGAATATAGCGCTTGCATATATGGAGAAGTCACATACAACCTGTGTAAATTCTTAAACAAATTGAATTCAAAGTATGGATTACTAATAATAACATCTCAGGATATTCTCTTAATAGGATGCTATCCCCACGTATATAGAGCGCGAGGCGCCGCTCCATTCAGGAGTGATTCTATTCTTGCTTCCCATATAGTCCTTATAATTCGTAGGGCCTGCATAATATTCTTTTATGTGAGGAAATACTGCCCCATCGTCAGTAGCTGTATAGATGATTATCGATCTTAAGTATGCGGATACACTTTAAACATTGCATGAATTAAGGATATAAATTAAAGCTGTAGGAAGCTAAAGAGTTGTTCCAATAAATCCTAATATTCGATGGAATGTTCAACACGGTTAAGCTTTTAAATATGAACCTGAAACGACTCCTCTTTTGGTACGATATCCACAGAGTTTCTGCTTTTTCTCATGCTCATGTTTTCATCATAGAAATTCATGAATATATACGCAGTTATAGTCTCTTCCTATAAATATACGCCCCCTATAGCAACTGTCTGTGTAGGTTATTATCTTCCATCATAACTTAAAGGTAAAAACCATTTTGAAACTGGATTGACTTTTTCCTTTAGCTCTTATCTGTTATTCTAAAATTCCTATTCACTGCTCATCTATCTTTACCAGTATATTCGAAATTGTTTTAAATATGCAAATTATCTCAGCACCCCTCTTTCCTTTATGAAATATACACCTCTTTCTGTGCACTCTAAGAAATGATATGAAGTTTCAATTATTTCTTAGTGCAATGTATTAGCCGAATCAACAAGTATCATATAGCTACATACAACTGAATCCGATTTATATCATTATCCTCCTTGTGGTTACTATGGATATAGTGTTGAAAGAATATTTTTGTATATTAATACTAACGAAAAGTAACCGTATGTGCAGAGTATTCACTGTATTGAAGTTTCCTTAACTTTATATGTATTACATTAAGACAAGCTGCTCATAGAGTCAGCTATAAATGAACCCTAATTCACCTGAGGCTGCTTCACATTGTAAGCATATACTTCCTTCAAAATCGAATTATGAAGAATTTTCCCTTGTTTCATTCCTGAGGCATAATTGTCTCGTCCAGAAATAAAAATATTG